AGCATGACAGTTCGAAAGAAGCCAGCCATGTTAGACTGGCTTCTGTTGTTGAACAGACAGAGGTACACGTATACCCAGGGGTACGGTACATGTATACCCAGCTTTAGTAGCCAGACTATGCTTCCAGTTTTCTTTACATTTTTAGGTTTGACGGAGTTAGGTATAGCTATTTAATCCCTTCACGTCCAAAGGTAAAACAAATCCTAATGCCTAAGCATAATTTTGCAACTTTGACATGTGTTTGTAAAAACCATACTTATCATCACAACTACTTTGTACATCCAGGTGAATTATACCTTGTTTTTTTCAGGACAAATTGGGCTTTCATTTGGTGGTGAATGGTAATGAATATCTCCTGATTATTTTTTTTTTTTTTGATTGTCAAAAGAAAACTGGCCTAAAAAAAAAAATAATTTTTTAAAATTTAGCTGCATACAACCTACCACCAAAGAACAACCTAAAATAAATTCTCCAGCTCCTGCAGCGATGCCACAAATGTGTATGTTGTTTGTTGCTTTTACCTGTAGTGCAGCCCAGAAACAATAGTGTACATTTTGCTATTTTTGTTTCGTTCTACCTAAAACACACTGACACTAACTGATACTAAAAAGAGAATCGTGCCCAAAATATACTGAGTTTGACCTTTGGCCCTGACCCCTTGACCTTTGATCCTTACTTGACCTAGGTATTTTTTCTTTTTAATATTTATTTATGCATTTATTTTACAGTTTTTTTTTCTCTGAACACAGTTTAGGCTTGACTTCTGCCTATTAGAATATAGTGTTTATTGGTACAAAATTAAAGTCACTGCAATTTGGGTATATGAAATCTTTTACAATGTTGACATTGAGTATACAGTGCCTTGAAAAAGTATGCATACCCCTTGACAAATAAATATCTGAAAAGTGTGGCGTACATTTGTATTCAGTTCCCTTTACTCTGATTACCCCATACTAAAATCTAGTGGAACCAAGTGCCCTCAGAAGTCACCCAATTTAGTAAATAAAGTTCACCTGTGTGTAATTTAATCTTCATATAAATACAGATGTTTTAGAACATTAGTAAGCAACCAGCACCATGAAGGCCAAAGAACACACCAGACAGGTCATGGGTAAAGTTTTAGAGAAGTTTAACGCAGGGTTAAGTTATAAAAAAAAAAAAAAAAAAATCCCAAGCTTTGAACATCTCACGAAGTACTGTTCAATCCATCATCCAAAAATTTAAAGAGTATGGCACAACTGCAAACCTACCATGGCCTTCCACCTAAACTGACAGGCCGGGCAAGGAGAGTATTAATCAGAGAAGCAGACAAGAGACCCATGGTAACACTTGAGGAGCTGCAGAGATCCACAGCTCAGGTGTTAGTTGTGCACTCTAAATTTCTAAAAGAGTGTCAAGAAGAAAGCCATAAGAAGTCCCGTTTGCAGTTTGCGAGAAGCTATGTAGTGGGACACGGCAAACGTAGAAGGTGGTCTGGTCAGATGAGACCAAAATTGAACTTTTTGGCCTAAAAGCAAACATTGTGTGTGGTGGAAACTAACACTGAACATCACCCTGAACACACTTTCTCCACCCTGAAATGTGGTGGCAGCATGTCATGGGAATTCTTTTTTCCAGCAGGTACAGGGAAGCTGATCAGAGTTGATGGGAAGATGGATGGAGCCAAATACAGGGCAATCTTAACAGAAAACCTGTTGGCATCTGCAAAAGACTTGAGACTGGGACGGAGGTTCACCTTCCAGCTGGACAACGACCATAAACATACAGCTAGAGCTACAATGGAATGGTTTAGATCAAAGCATATTCATGTGTTAGAATGGCCCAGTCAAAGTCCAGACCTAAATGCAAATGAGAATCTGTGGCAAGACTTGAAAATTGCTGTTCAAATGGTTTCCATCCAATTTGACAGAGCTTGAGCTATTTTGTAAAGAAGAATGCGCAAAAATTTCACTCTCTAGATGTGCAAAGCTGGTAGAGACCTCCCCAAAAGACTTGCAGCTGTAATTGCAGCGAAACGTGGTTCTACAAAGTATTGAATCAGGGTGGCCAAATACAAATGCACACTACACTCTTCAGATATTTATTTGTAAAAAATTTTGAAAACCATTTATGATTTTCCTTTCACTTCATAATTATGTGCCACTTTGTGTTGGTCTATCACATAAAATCCCTATCAAATACATTTATGTTTTTGGTTGTATGAGACAAAATGTGGAAAATTTCAAGCGGTATGGATACTTTTTCAAAGCACTGTATTTTCAGTTAGACTTCAGAACACTCGTTATTAGTAATGAAATCCTGAATTGGTTTTCAGAAACAAGTTAGATACAACAGTAAGACCAACCAGGGTAGCATGTAATTTGATCACAAAAATGAAGTAAATTCCTAATCTTCAGACCAGGGTTTTTTTCTACAGTTCCATCATATTTAGAATCCGTACTTCTCTTGTCCAGTACACGTTATTTCTAACCTTGCCTATTGGTCATAAAATTGGTCCTTGTGTAGCTCTTCTGTATCCCTGCAGCTCATCACAGACAGAGGCCCACTGATATAGCACTGCCATTGCTAAGTTAACTACTGAAGAATTATTTTAATATATTAACATGAAACGCCAAGGTTTTATCTACAGTAAATAAATAAAAATCACACAGCTATTAATTATATTGAGCTACCACCTTTCACCAACTGCAACAAAAGTATCCACTAACCTCCAAAGACTAATTTACATACTTCTTTGTATCACACTGTCTAAAATCCAGTAATATCCTGTGTACCACTACACTCCCTGTCCCAGCTCTTCATTTCCTAAATAGGTCTAACTACCCAGGCAAAGGCATCTCACTATTCTATTCACTCATCTTAGATGTGAAACGTAATTTTAAAACTACATCAATAACCAACTGTGAAACACTCTTCTCCCAAAACTTCCCAGACCAAGCATGGAAGAGAGCCTTTACCACCACATATAAAGCCTCCCGCTGTGCCACACGCTGGGAATCCTTCATTAAATTATTACATCAATGGTACTGAACACCATATAGACTAACCAGAATCTACCCGAACACATCTCCACAATGCTGGAGTCAATGCGGAGAAGGCTCTTTATACCATATTATTTGGTCCTGCAAGTCTATCAGATCATTTTGGAACAGCGTATTAAAAAAAAAAAAAAAAAAAAAAAAAAATCAGAAATTGCTGGTATGGTAATACCCCCTACCCCAGACTTGGCACACTTACACATAGGGATTGACAGGTTCTCACCAGAACTTCAAATTATTATTATACACCTTTTGTACTCAGCCAAGAATAATGTAACTAGTTCATGGAAAACCTCTAAATTTCCCATCATTTTCAAGAGTGGTCGCTAACCTAAGTCTCCAGTGTGATATGGAGAGAAGATTCTCCATGTGGGCACTTCACCCTAAGTGTACAGTTGAAATTTGATGGCATTTACCTTTTTTGGAGTACAACTGACACAAGACTATCCTAGCTACTTTTGGTATTTTCAAATATTCTGAATCCACAAGTTCTAATAGTTTTTCTCTTCCCTCTCCTCCCCAAACCCCCCCCCCATGGTTCATACTTCCTTAACCGAATATTGTGATTGTATCATTGATACAGTTTTTTTGTCTGTTCATGTACCACTGTGAACCTATGGATGTCTGTGTTCTTGTCTGCCTTGTAATCAATAAGAAAAGAGTTGAATATAATTATATTGAGCTATTTATGCATCCTCGTTTATTGATTTCGTTTTTTGCTTTGTATATCCTTATAGTAAACAAAACTCCCTTTTTTTAGGGTGACTGAATATCCTTTAAAACACAATGACAGCAGCCTATGTTGGTGGTATTGATTACCTGTGTGTTATTTAACAGCATGTAATAAAACCATATACCTTTGCTTCTCTGTGGCACTTTCTTCCACGCTGTATTCACTTTAACACTTGTAATTTGTGGTGCTTGAGGCAAAGGGAAAAGGAGCTTACACAAGGTCACAGCTTGGTATTTGAGAATTCAAACTGCTAACAATTATTAACTTCCATTCACTAAAAATCAATAATAGCACAAGTGTTTCATTGTGTAATGCAATAACTGGTATTAGCAAAAAGCATTACAGGGTTAGCATAGCGGCAGCTATAATCTGAAAAGGCCATCATAATTTGTGTTAGTGATTTCTAGTCTAAATCCATCTTTTACTGTGTTTTAGTCTGGAATTAATACTGTTTTAAGTGTGTATGTGTGTGGCCAATATACTGTAGCATTTTCAAAAATTAAGTTATGCTCCCAGTCAATTATAAGAAACTCTGTGACACATTCTAAAATTTTGCAGCTTGCTGAAAAATGTTTACTTTGAGTGAAAAATACTGATTGATAGAAGGGCCCATATAGATCTATGCGTTATGTTGTACCTTAACATGGCAGAAGGATTCAATAAACATAATGTACCCTTCTTTGCACCACAATGGGCAGTATTGCTTTGGCGTGTGTTGTGGTGCACTACCGCACATGTCCATCATATATGTTTTGTCTCAGTACATGGTGCAATGTGTTACTGCTGCTCTCTGCATCTGTAGACCTTAATTACTTTAATCAGTATTGTGTTAGACATACGCCTATTGTGAAAATATGTGAATATTAAAAATATAATGGTAATGAATGGTTATTCATTCATTTAAAAGGTTAGGTGTTTAAGTCTTTAATATTGTCTATAATTATGTTCTCTGTTACACTGAGATCTGATGTGAACTGAATTTTCTGGTTGCTCTCTATTGTATTCATCATAAGAATATATGGAGAATGCATTCTGAGAAGGATCAGGAAAATTTATCTTGCAGCAAAATGTATCTTGTGTGAAACAGTAGGACAGGAGGTCTGTGAGGACATCTCCCTACTGGTAAGCATGGGGTCAGTGGCATTTGCTCTTTTAGGTGGTTGAAGATGATGTTTAACAAGGACATTACAAAAATTTTTAAATTTGTACCCTTGTTTTAATTTTCAGTGTTGGATATGGCTAGACATGTGCCTTTGTATCGAGCTCTATTGGAGCTGCTTCGAGCCATCGCTTCATGTGTAGCACTGGTACCACTGCTGCTTCCACTGTCTGGAGCTAATGGAGAAGAGGAGGAGGAACAAACAGAATCGCAAGCATCTGTAGGCACCTTACTGGCAAAAATGAAAACTTGTGTGGACACATATACCAACAGATTAAGGTAGACTATTGTATTACTAATAAAATGCCCATATTAAACTATACATTTTGTACAAGATTGTCTTTGCTTATGGTATAAGAAAAATATTTTACATTCATCATTGATGTACTGTATTAAAGGAGAACTACACTAAGCACTATTTGTATCTAAAGTAGCCACCACCAAGGTCTTTATAAATTATTGAGTAGCTTTAAAACCATCCACATCACTTCTGAATCAAAAGAAGGGAGGCTTCAGATTAACTTCTAAAGCAAGCTTGTGGCTGCTGCTGTGAGCTTGTATTACCCGTTTGAATGGCCGGGCTGTAATACGTGCAGGAGTCAGTCTCAGCACAGTGCTCTGAATGAGATGGCATACTCCAGTATGACGTCCATTCAGAACACAGTACACATGCACCAGTGACTTCACCGGCCTCAACAAATGTGAAACGGATACACGTTTAGGAGATATTCATAGAGGCTATTCATAGAGGCTAGTAACATCACCGGCACATGTTTGGACAGCATTCTAGATTATGCCGTCTATTGAGAGTGCTGTTCCAAACATGACTCCCACACACGTACGCAGGAGTGACGTCATCGTGGCCCGGCCATTCAAAAAGCTGGAGCCCCCAAACCTGGACGAAAGACTTGGTGAAGATTGAAGGGCCGACCTCGGTGGCATTGCGCCTCTGGAGGGCTTCTCTTTACGGCAAATCTGTCAAAATGTACTAGTATGACTTGAACCCCCTTGAGAAGTGAAATAAAGGAGAATAAGACCCTGAAAAAAAAACGACTGCAGCCACCACAACTAAGAATTGGTTTGCTACAAGAGTAGTTTTTTTTTCTTTATGCCATGCGAGTTTCAAATTGCATGGCAAGTTGTACCCTATTGACTTGGTTGGAATTGCACTGATTTTGAAAGCAGCGCATGCACTACTTCAAGGGCGACTTGCATAGACATGTGTCTTGCAAGTCTCACCTGAAGTTGGAATGACATCCGACTTTGAAATCGTGCAACTTCACTGGAAGTCGCACAATTTAAAAATCATATCGGTGTGATCGGGGACTTAAAGTTTCTTGACCAAATTGTGCTTATTTTTGGTTTTGTGCAATAAATTATGTTGAGATGATATCAGTTTTCTTTTCCTTTCTGAGAAATATTAATGTATTTTGAATAGAGTGGTTCGTTTGAGTCCAAATCAAGGTTTTTATTTTTTTTCTCGAGTCTAATTCTGATACCACTAATTGTAAGAAATTTAAACAGGACCTTGAGAATTTAGTTTTGTTTTTTAAGCTGCAGTATACTACATATTTGTTCTTAGGTTTAATACCCCTTTAATGGGAGCACTGGGCCACCCAAGAGCTATTTCTGGAAGGATGTTTATAAATTACAGAAATTAACATTTTCACTTCTGTTAGTTTTTTGGGGGTTTTTTTCTAGTACAATACGGCATTAGGAAGATGGTTAAAGCAGCACTCGCTGTCATATTGTGTGTTCTTACAAGTTATTTCAGCAGCCACATTTTGCCTATCTTGTGTCTCTGTAGTACTAAAGGTCCTAGCATTCCTCACTCCCTTGTCTCCATACAGCACTTAGAATGTTCTCATGACCACCTTCACATCATTGTAAAATGATGTCCCACAGTGATAGCCACAACCTCTACCTCTTGGATTGGCAGCTGCATACAGCATGTTTCCATTCTGTATCTTATTTCAGTGACTGCTCCCCACCATCTAAGAGAACTAATTCTGTAACACGTCCAGCAGAAGTTATGATTTCCATGTATTAGGCTTTTGACTTTTGCAGTTTAAAGTGTTACTAAACCCAGGACCCTGTATCCACTATATCTGGTCTCCCACAGAACATGGAAGTGCAATTCTTTTCGTAAATATAAACTGCTAAATACCTTTTCTCATCAGCAGTTAAAGCAGTCTTGTGGCTTCTATCTGTGTCCAGCCAAGCTCTAGCTAAAGCTTGTACGAGGATTGTTCTTTCTGCTCTAGGAGGATGGAAATCCCCTGACCTCTGTCTGGACAGTGCTGATTGACCCTGTGTTGATCACATGCACTCTCACAAGAAAAAAAAACCTCTCTAGCAATATACACCAAACTGAGCATGTGCATGCCTACGGTTCAGTCTGGAGATAAGTGGTGGTCGCTTGAAAAAGGGGAGGAACAGAGAAGAAAGGATCAAACAGCCTTTTTACACAATTCAGAGGATTAACCCCTTAGGTCCTACAGTTAGTATAACAAGCATGCTTTACTGCATATACAGACTGATTTTACTGTTGTGGGTTTAGTAACACTTTAAGGATTAGCCTTTCTCTACTATACACGGATCAGTACTGGCACAAAATGAAGTGATTCTGTAGTATGTTTATCCAAGAACCAGTCTTTATGATCTGACCACCCATAGAAGATGTCATTGAGTGTGGTTTACTAATAGTGTCTAATTAGAGCTAGATTATCTACTTTATAGTTTTGCTAGGGTCAAGTAGTCTGTTTTGTTATATTAATTAACATTTGCTATTTGAAAAAGTTCTCCAAGTTAGATGAATTGGAACTTAAGGTTTTGTTTCCCCTTTACATGAATAGGATTTTCTATGATTATGCTTAGAGAAAATCTCTTTCCCCTGTTGAAAATCTCCACCAGCATGTTATTCAGGGATAGATAAATATAGTAAAATATTGGTTTGGATAATCATGTTATTGCGTGCTTTGTTTTTGAAAGACATTGTTTTGATTGTGGTGTGATGTGCCTTTTTTCTTGTTTCAAGCAAATGGCTCATAAACAGGTTGATTTAGTCTATATAATTTTTGGTCTCTGAGTGAATAAACACACTGATGTGCAGTGGTTCCTAATCAGGCATTATTTTAACTGGACACATTGGGGAGGTTTACTAAAACTGGAGAGTGCCAAATCTGGTGCAGCTCTGGTGCATAGAAACCAGTCAGGTTTTATTGTCAAAGCTTATTTGAACAAGCTAAAGTTAGAAGTGGATTGGCTACCATGCACAGATGTAGCAGATTCTGAGTGCTCCAGTTTCAGTAAATCTCCCCCGTTGCTTGATCATGTGTGCCATCTCAGAAGGCTGATTGTGGACCAACAGGCGTAGAGGAGTTAGAGTGAAAGCTGTATTTTAAATAGAGAGGAGCAACAGTTGACCATGGAAAATTGGAAGGGACAGAGAAGGCATGGAAAGGAAAGTGTGGGCAAAGGGTCATGTATGAACTGTCATTTCCTTTTATCCTTCTGTGTAAATTTGTGATACAGCTGCACATAACACACTTTTAACAAAGGGTGGGACTTGGCCATTGGAGTGGTTTCAGTTAGAGAGACAAAGTTTAGCATATGCAGGATATGAGATTTTGTGTCAAATTTTACATTTATTTGGAAGATGTCTTCACAAAGGGCCAGTGAAGAAATGCAAAAATTGATAGCACTGTGGAAGATTAGGGGTGCAAAATGCCTAGAAAACAAAACCAGTGACAAGACTGCAGCTGAGGGATCATAGTTTTACGGTACCTTGCAAAGCACAGGGACCAGATTGTGTAGTGGAGATGGTATTGTGCTGAGAGATCAAGCTGGAGTTCAGTGTACACAGGCTCCGAAGTGATATGATACAGTATGTACAGTGAAAAGAAAGCTGTAGGAGGATGTAGTGCAGACAGTGGGAGAAGAGCTGGTTGCATTAAAGTGTATGTATGTACAGTATCTCACAGAAGTGAGTACACCCCTCACATTTTTGTAAATATTTTATTATATCTTTTCTTGTGACAACACTGAAGAAATGACACTTTGCTACAATGGTAAAGTAGTAGTATATAGCTTGTATAACAGTGTAAATTTGCTGTCCCCTCAAAATAACTCCACAAACAGCCATTAATGTCTAAACCTCTGGCAACAAAAGTGAGTACACCCTTAAGTGAAAATGTCCATTTGAACCCAAGGTGTCCACTGACAGGCTGACCCCCCCACCCCTTCAACCTTTGCAGCAATGCTGGCAGCATTCATACGTCTATTTCCCAAAGACAATCTGTGGATATGACGCTGAGCACATGCACTCAACTTCTTTGGTCGACCATGGCGAGGCCTGTACTGCTGCAGCTCAGTTACCACCATTCTGCAGCTCAGTTTCAGGGTCTTGGCAATCTTCTTATAGCCTAGGCCATCTTTATGTAGAGCAACAAATTTTTTTTCTTTTTTCCAGATCCTCAGAGAGTTTTGCCATGAGGTGCCATGTTGAACTTCTAGTGACCAGTAAGAGTGAGAGCGATAACACCAAATTTAACACACCTGCTCCCCATTCACACCTGATACCTTGTAACACTGAGTCATATGACACCAGGGAGGGAAAATGGCTAATTGCGTACTCACCTTTGTTGCCAGCTGTTTAGACATTAACCACTTGCTGACTGCAGATAGCCGAATGGCGGCTTCACTGCGGCCGGCCAGTTCTGGGAGGGTGTCATATGACGTCCTCCCAGAACATGCCCTCCTGCGCGCCCCGACGATTTCCATGATCGCTGTGTCCTACAGACACAGCTGATCACGTGAGGTGGTAAAAGGCCAATCACAGTGGCCTTTTACCACGTGATCAGCCATGTCCAATGACACAGCAGATCACCAGTAAATGCAGTTGCCGACTGCACTTTCCTCATGCTATCACAGCGTGAGGAAAGTACTGCCGATAACCAGATAGTTTCAGAGGAGGGATCGGCACTGATCATCAGGGCACTGATGATCAGTGCCCAGCAGTGACACCAGTCAGTGCCCATCATTGTTGCATATCAGTGCCCATCATTGTTGCATATCAGTGCCGCCTATCGGTGCCCATCAGTGCTGCCTCATCAATGCACATCAGTGAAGGAGAAAATTACCTGTTTGCAGAATTTTATAATCGAAACAAAGACAATTTTAGCTCAATTTTTTGTTTAAAGAAAGCTCCAGTTGTGTGAAAAAAAAATGATAAAAATGTAATATGGGTGCAGTGTTGCATGACCACCCAATTGTCACTC